ATATCGTTCATCAGCTATGTCATCATGCACAGTGAGTGTTATTTTAGCTGAATAAAGAAGACGATAATAATCATTTAATATACTTACCAAGATAATCCATACAATTACCCATGGAAAAAAGAAGAATGTTATAACGCAATGCAAGCAATGGTTTACTCCTTGTCGTCTGTAATCAACATACAATAGAACACAAAAATTGGTAATCTTGGAAAAATTAATGAAAACTACACAATGTAGAACTATGAAGCTGTAATATGATGGTATTAACGAATAAATACATAAAGTTTCTACATATAACTGTAACATGTAGGATGTTATGCTGATAATTGTCTGAGATGCACCGTACCGTACTTTCCTGATATATTTTTAGACATTTAACCTTTTCACCACCAGACTTTCTCGCCCAATTTTTTCTGCACTTTTTTTTTTTTATATATTTCTGGAAATGACCCCTAATTTTAAAGCCAACAGAAAAAATGTGTGTCAATTATCAGTTTTTACTCTTGAATTTGAATTTTGTGAATTTGTAATGAGAAGAGGTAACCCAGGTAACTGGTGGTGAAAGGTTTAAAGAGTTGAGGGCATCCCAGGTGTATAGACTCATGGTGTAGAATTGATCTTGAAAAATTAAGATATTGTTTAGTTAATAACAGACATGACCTTAAGGTCAAAGGATGATTTTCCAGGTCAAATCATGCAGAAAAACATCATGGTGGTAATTGCTTTGCAGTGAAAATTTGTGTATGATTAAAAACATTCACAACAAAGATGAATTATGAAGATCTTGTCCTTAACTGTTTTCCAACCAACCACATTAATTTTCAGAGTCAGATACAGTGTAGTATGTAAATATTATTATAATAAAATGTGGGTATTTAGTTTTTATGAACATTTTTGTTCCTACCTACATTTCAAAAGTGAGATAATCAATGATGACGCAACTCATTTTCCAATGCCATTTTTTTCTTACTTTATTCCCTCTAGCCTGGCACATTGTGAAGGAAAATTGTCATTTGGATAATAATTTGAGGGGACAACATACTGTAAAACATGTTTAAGGTAGAGATGCAGTTTGCCTGACATGTATTTTAATTAGTTGATTAGGAAACCAAGATGACCTGACCTCCCTTGTCCACAAAACTATATATTTTCGGACAGCTTATTGTATGAATTTTAAAATTTTGTTATTATTTTTTTTTATGGACACTTTAGTTTGAATTATGCACAAAAATGTGCTTTTTTGGTCAAAAATGATTTAAAAAAAAATTGCTTCTAAACCATACATGTACTTCTGTTTCCTGTCAAAATTGATTCACGGGTACATCTGTTTACTATGAAGAAAGTGCAGTCTTGAAAACTGTCACTACTTCAAGTTTATGCATAAATTAACACCCAGGCTAGTTGTCTGTACGATTGTTGTAACACTGTTCAACCAAAAACAACGTTTTGAAGGATAAACACATTGTCAATCATTTGTGAAAATTTCAAAACAAAAGGTCAAAGCGTCTAGGAGCTATTTTTTTAAAGTTCTGGGATGTGCACTAAAAAGAAGCTGAGATAATTGCTAATTTGCATAACCATTCACTCAGTAAGAAGTTTGCTAATGCTCATAATTAAAATGGCTGTAACAGTTCTAAATTTAAATGTATTATTGTTTTGTGAAAAGTTAAATATAGTGCATAATATGGAAATCCCATCATTTCTTTTTTTCACCATGTTTCTTTTTTATTATTTATGTACAGCCTTGCAAAATCTTGCTAAGCATTCAAAAGGGAGAATGTTTGCACCTGTTATCTATATTTTAAAATTGTCTTTTGAGTATGTTCCACTATTCACGATTCTACAAAATTTTAACAGCCTATAGCCAAGACTGTTTGGATAATAAAAAAAAAATTCACTCCCAAGTGCCCACGAACCTGCATCTTTACCTTAAATAGCCACATGCCATTTTAGCGAATTTGACTCCATGCATGAATTAAACTGAATCTTAATTTAGTTAAAGTGTCAACACTCTCATTGTGAGAATATACTTTATTTTCAATTAGTGACATCTTGAATTAGCAAATTTACAGATTAGCTAGATTAGTTAAAATAACATGCTAGCTAAAAATACATTTTTTACAGTAGTTATAATGTTCAACAACAACAAATTTTTGAGGTTGTCTTTTGGTATTCGCCTAACTCTTACTTTTCAGCTTATGACCAAGGAAGTAATGGTATATATAAATGTATATATATATATAGTTACCTATGAGTGGTGATGAATATTGACTTATAAGAACTACACAAACATCTATAATTGTATTTTAGATAAAATGGCATTTAGTACTTACAGCTGAGTTTGTATGATTTTTTGAGGTGCAGGAGCTGCACCGGCTACCACAACAGTGTTGTTAGACATCATCATCATCTGTTCCTGTGGTGGTGGTGGTGGGTAGTAGCCTTGCTGTGGTGGTGGTGGGTAGTAGCCTTGCTGTGGTGGTGGTAGGTAGTAGCCTTGCTGTGGTGGTGGTAGGTAGTAGCCTTGCTGTGGTGGCAGGTGATATCCTTGAGGGGG